AAAGGGTGGGAATTCTTGCTGGGTGAGGGACAATTTCCATGGGTTACTTCTATCTTAAGCAATATGCTTTTCAAAATGTCACTGTGTTGTGTTTCTCATAAAAATTATACAGAAACACAATGTGGGCAAGCACTTTGCAAAAATGCAAGTTTCCCTGTGTAAATCTGCCGTACGTGTCAGGCAGGAGAGGAAGGGGTTTTGTGATTCCGAGAACAGTTCAGCTGTCAATAAACACTGCGGTGGTTTTTGTGGGGTTTTTGGATTGGCCATACAATCCAGATAATAAATTCCTCTTATTTGAGACCTAATCCAGATTAGGATTTTGTTGTCCTTACGTAAAGCAAAAACCATTTTGCCTGCTGTTCCTCCTCTTCATCCCATCCAGTTCTTCCAGGATCCTACAATTCTAAACTGATTTATTCAGTTTGGGTTTGTGAGCTGCTCAGCAATACGGAACCACGAACATCACAGCGATTGCTGTCTTTCACGTACTTGTTGATATTTGCCCCTCTGACGTGCTTTATCAGCATCTTAATGTGTGCATTTGCTGCTGCGTGCTCCCTGCTGCTTGATTTACTGGAATAATTTCTTACTTTGTGCTGCTTGTATTTTCTGACTTGAAGAAATACTTCATTTGAGACCCCTGGGTTTCTACCGCTTCTTAGTGATGTTATATACTAAATACATACATACCAGCCTTTAACTTTCCTCAAGGCAGTACTTTGAGAGGTCTCCTTTCCCTCAGTTCAGGTGCTTTCCAATCGTTTAACTAGTTTTAAACTAACCTCTGTGGTGTGTTCTAAATGATGTATCAACAAGTCTTGTGGTTGTCTGTTGGGCTCTTCAGTTTCACCAGCCTGGGATCCTTTTTTTGCAGGGCTTCTATGATGAAATCCTGCTTGCTTTCCAATGACAGTGCTTTCCAATACCCTGTTAAATTTCATTGTTTATATAGGCACTGATTTTTAAGTGTATTACATCTGGGTATAGGTTTCCTCTGAATATTACCTGTGTAGGATGTAATTGTAAATCATCCAGACTGTCTACAAAGCCACTCAAAAAAAAACCCCCAAAAAACAAAAGAAAAAGGGTTTTCTTGGTATAGGGAGAAATTCCAAATCTTTGTACCTAACTTCTACTTCAGTTTCATATTGTCTGTGGAATTATTTCTTTATTTCTGGATCATCACGCAGACTCTGCATTTCCTTAAATTATAGTGGTTCTTGTTGACATTGCCCTCTCTTGCTAGTGAGGATTGGGTTTATCAGCAGTAAGTTAACCTGCTCTGAATTCACTTCTACATCTGCCAGTCTGTAGTTACTGCAAAGATTTCTCTTTTCTTTTATTTTTCCTCCTCTTTTCCCCTTGGCTAGTTCAGCGTTTTCAACCATTTTCCTTATTTTCAAAGGCTTACGCCTGAGGGATTAAGATCTACATTCGTTTAATATAGGGAATAAAGTGGAAGTTTCAGACTGCAAGGCTAAAACTTGAAGAAGGATCTTTGTAGAGATTAATACTTTCCTGAACAATCTGCGAGCTGAATCATGGTCTAATTAAATAGCTTAGATTTAGTGAGTTTGCATTTAAACATTAGCAGACCCTAGAATGGGTAAAGCTGAAATGAGTTTGAATCTTTTCTGTAAATGGGAAGTGAAATTATCATAGTAATTTGATTAAATCATTTTTAAATCTTTCAAGCTGAATCACCATTTTAAAAGAACAGTTTGAAGTCTTAATCGCTGTTTGGAAGCGCCCCTTTCACTGCTATTTTTTCTTACCTCATTTCCTGTGACAAAATCTGTTTCCCAAGGCACAGCTTCCTCACCTCTGCTCCATGAACCGCTGTCTGGCAGCGGAGTGCTTGCATCGGGCCAGTGGAGAGCTGGCTGGTCACGTTCTTCCCAGCTGCTAAATTGATTTCAAAGACAGCAACAAATGCATTAAATGCTTTACTGCTAGTACTTTTCCGTGTAAGCAATTGCTCTGTTTACCGGAGGGATGGTACACCGTCACCCCTGCAAGGAGAGGATAAGATCCCTTGTTTTAAGATGTTGTCCACGCAGTGGAAGAGGTTGAGAGCGTGGAGTGTAATAGCCGTATCAGAGGGCAGGTTTTGATTCACCTTCCGTTCTGCGTTTTCTAGGGGTGTTCTCTTCCTCTTTTCCCTCCTCACTCAGTTTCTGTGTCAGAAATATGTAGAGCATAACTATTCCTAACGCTGCAGGCCAAATTGCTATCCGCACTGCAGAGCTAAAGATCTCGGGCAAGTTTCATCTCTACGCAAAAAATATATTGGTCCGGACTCCATCTGTGTATTTGTGAATTCAAACATGGTCGCAGATACAAATGCTGGTTCTGGGAAGAATCAGAGCAGTTTTGTAGAGGATTAAAAACTAACCATTTATAGTCAGGTTCTCCAGAAAGACCTGTCTCTTGATGCAGTGTGGTGTAAAAAAACCAAACCAACCAAACAAAAAAACCCAGACAAACAAAAAACCACAAGAACTTTGCAAGACTTCGACTTGCTGAGCATTTTGTTGCTGCTAAAATGCTCCTGTCTGGTTCTCCAGCAGATCTGGCCCTGGCCCTGTGGGTCTGGGGAGAGGAGGAAAAGACGTGTAATTTCTGCACAAACTGTGCATGATTTCTAGAAAAATTATTTAGAGTGTCACGTCGTGCGTTCTGTAGCACAACAGTGAATATTCAGGGACTTGCTAAAGAGTCAGGGAGTAAAGATGACAATTGGTTTGGAGTTTGCATCCCAAATGAAGCCCGGTGGCTGGACACCGTGCTTAAGACATCAGTCACATTTGTGTGTGTGTGTTAGCGTGTCTGTATCGATAACAGCTGTTTGTGGGACACAGAATTCAGGGATTTTCTCTTATTGACACAGAATTATTTAATACAATTGGAGTATTAGAAAACTATCAAAAATGTATGGATTTGGGGAATGCTCTCACGTTAATTAGACCTAAATTTTGCTAGAGGTAATATTTCCCTGTCATCTTTTTTCAAATGTTGTCGTTTTCTTTTTCCCTAAGAGAGATATTTTTGCGTTTTTCTCTGCTTTCAGCACAGCGCACCTTGACGTGCGGTTTCACATCCCTGCAGCGTATGGCTTAACTGCATGCTTCTTAGAGCATGTATTCGCTAAGACTCAGAATTATTAAACATGTAAAATTCCCATAGGACTCCATTATGTGTAATTAACAGATAAACTGTCATCAGAATCAATAAAACGTGCTAAATGATCCAAACTTGTATATAATTAAGTGTCTGTTTTAGAGCGGGAGCTGTAACTTTTTTTTTTTTTTTCCAATTTGCACATTTGTTTTGACAATAGAAGCTGGAACATTTTTGTTAACCTGTTACTTACTGGTTTGTGTTTTGGTTTACATGTTTATGTTTGAAAAGAGAGAGGTATTTACTATCTGGCCTAATTATCTGAGGAAATAGTTGCATGTCAGCTTTTAGGAAATGAGTCTTAGATGCATCTTAATTCTCTGAATGTAATTCAGGTATTTGAAGCACGTGCAAAATTTGATGTAGTTATCATCAACAGGGTAAAACATAAGACTCTGTCAAAATACTGATCCAGGGCATCAGACTGCTTAGTACAGAGCTTGGCGACGATGGCAGAAGGGGGTTCTTCACCATCCAACTCCTCAGCCCTTATTCTGGCTGGGAACAGGAGCTTTATTCCAAAACCAAAAATTAAGATGCGAAGCAGCATTGTACTAACTAGAGTTTTCAAGCGTATACTTTAAGAAAATGCCACGTCCCAGTTTCACCCGGAGCTAAGCTAGCACAGAGAGTGTAGCCTATCCCTGGGACCTGTACCCCCTCGCAGCAGTTATGCTTTCATGTGCTGTTTTATTGGCTCTGTAAGTCTGCAGGCCATCCAAATTTTGGTAGCTGGTAGGGGCTGTTTGGTGGCCTCTCACCCTATGACTGTTCTTCCTTACTCGCATCCACCTCGCTTTGGACCACATCAGGGGTTTTTTGGCGTTTATGACTACATAAAAGTCAGAGAATTAGGGCTGCTCGTCCAAAGTCATCTCGGCATGGTCCAGTGACTGCGTGTTCTCAGGGACATCTTCCCTTTCCGTATCTATGCTGTTGAGGGTTTTACAGTTATTTCAGTTAGATCTTTTCTTTTTATTTCACACTTCCATTGCTTTAATCTTTGCGGGTCATGTAGCAGTTTAGTTTAGTTCCTTGTGTGCATTGTGTCTAGGCTTGTCACTCAATACTTACACCACCGAAGCATCTCACCTGGAAGGGGGCAGGGCAAGGTGCTTGCTTGGAGTGATTTAGAAATAATGCAAAAGCCCAGCAATAACAAGATAAGCCACCCTCTGAGTGGGTGGGAGAGAAGGATTACACCTCGTAGGAGATGTTAGCTTCACAGAGCAAAAGCTGTTTGGGAACATACTAAGTGTTGCTTGTCTGTCTAAATGTGCCTGAGGGAGAAGAAATTTGCTAAAGCTCTCAGGAAATCACATCAAACCCGCTTTTCCCTCGTGTCAGCGCAGTGGTCCCGATCCCGCCATTAGTGTCCCTGGGCGGTGAGTAACGACCGTGGCTTCCAACTCCACAGCCTTGGAGCCCGACATGGAATTTTAGGGAGCTTTTCCGTAGTGGGGCAGCCATCTTTGCTTCCCTGACAAAACGCAGGCCTCGGTTCCTACAGCCCTTCGGCGCTGTCATCTCTTCAAAGCGGTCACTGTAAGGGACAGTTTATGGAGCAGCGAGGGCCACCGATTTACTAGTTTGAGGAGGATGAGGAGAAGGATTACTTACAGAAGAGTGTAAGTAATTTGTAGTTCCACAGTGGTTCCAGATATTTTCCTGAAGGTCACTGTAGAAATTAGTGGGTAACGATCTTCCTTCTTCGTGAAAGAAGATGGAGAGGACCAGTAAAAGCATGGTGCGGCCGTAGCGTTACCTGACTTTTGGCACAGCAAACTGAAACCTCCTGTTGCTCCTTTGTTTTGCAGACTCAATGCACATAGAGGATGTTGAGGCGGTGCAGAAACTTCAGGACGTCTTACATGAGGCTCTGCAGGATTACGAGGCCGGGCAGCACATGGAAGACCCACGTCGCGCAGGCAAGATGTTGATGACTCTCCCGCTTCTGAGGCAAACCTCCACCAAGGCTGTGCAGCATTTCTACAACATCAAACTGGAAGGCAAAGTCCCCATGCACAAACTTTTTTTGGAAATGCTGGAGGCCAAGGTCTGACTAAAGCATCATGGGCTCCCCCATCATGCACGTTTTAAAAAAAAAAAAAAAAAAAAAGGGAAAATAAACAGGATAATAATGGCAAAGAAACTTAGTGTTTAATTAAGGAAAAAATGACTGCACTGATATTTAGCAGCAAGACTGTGAAGCAGCTTTCAACTTTTTCTTCTGTGTCTTTCTGATGCAGTTTTTCATTTCCTTTTCCTTTTCTCTCTTTTCCTTTCTGTTCTTTCCTTTCCTTTTTCCTTTTCTCTTTTTTCTTTGCTGCTGAACTTTTTAAAAGAGGTCTCTTATTGAAGAGAGATGGAAGCCAGGCCTGCCAAAGGATGGAAATCCATAATATGGATGCCAGTGAACTTGTTATGAACCATAATGTCCCCAATGACAAAGGAATCAAAGAGAGAACCACCGTACCTAGCAGTACAGTACAACACGATGAACTGACTGAATGCAGTATTAGATTTCATAGGAGCAGTCTCTAATTAGACGACTAAGCGACGATGCATCGGCTGCTTCTTATCATTGCATTTTCCATCTAGATCAGTTACAGCCATTTGATTCCTTAATTGTTTTTTCAAGTCTTCCAGATATTTCTTAGGTTAGCTACAATGTAACTTTTTCAGGGAATAGTTTAAGCTTTATTCATTCATGCAATACTAAAGAGAAAGAAATACTGCATTTTTGTGCTGGCTTGAACAATGATGAACAATAATGAAGGACAAATGAATCCTGAAGGAAGATTTTTTTAAATGTTTTGTTTCTTCTTACTAACGGAGATTTTTTTGTACCAGCTTTACCAGTTTTCAGCCATTTATTAATGTGGGAATTTATCTTACTAAAGCAATAGTCGAAGGGAAGGTGCATATTATCACGGATGCAATTTATGTTGTGTGCCAGTCTGGTCCAAAACATCCAGTTTCTTAACATGAGCTCCAGTTTATAACTAAATGTTCACTGACTCAAAGGATTAGATTACACCTACAGTATATCCGAGTAGTCTAACATAGAAGTACTCCATGTCAAATACCAATCCGTAACGGTGTTAGGAGACAGCGACTGTACAAAGGTATAGTTGCGACGTGATTTCTAACTGCTTCAGTTGCAAATGAACGAGATAACCGCCTGTTTGCAAATTTCTAACCTCACACGCGGAAAAACCCTCGGAACCAATAGTAGCTTAGAGGCAATAAGGCAAATGCCGACATTTGCAAAAATTAAGAAATCAGAGTAGTAGACTTCTGACCAAATTGAAGAAGTTAACACTTCTATACCTTATTTATTGATTTAGATTTTATTTTGTAAATGGCAATCGTTAACAAGTAGCTAAACCAGTAGACGTGCTTTTCAACCAGTATTGTCACAGCATGAAAGTCAGTCAGTTTCAAGACTGTTACGAGGTGTAATCTAATGTATAAACCGATTAGATGCCCCCAGAAAACTACAGTCGCTAAATAACCGATAAACAATAACCTCCATCAAATGCTATACCAATGTACCAGTGTTAGTAGCTGCTCCCTGTACTATGTGAACATCCTTATTCTATGTACACAGATGTAATTAAAATTGTAATCCTAACAAACAAAAGAAATGTAGTTCAGCTTTTCAATGTTTCATGTTTGCTGTGCTTTTCTGAATTTTTATGTTGCATTCAAAGACTGTTGTCTTGTTCTTCTTGTGGTGTTTGGATTCTTGTGGTGTGTGCTTATAGACACAGGGTAGAATTAGAGACAATATTGGATGTACAATTCCTCAGGAGATTACAGTAGTATATTCTATTCCTTACCGGTAATAAGGTTCTTCCTAGTAATAATTAAGAGATCGAAACTCCAAACAAATACTCGTTATGAACAGATACACATTGAAATCATAATATTTTCAAAACAAGGGATAATTTCTGTAACAGTTTATTATAGAATACCAATGTATAGCTTAGAAATAAAACTTTGAATATTTCAAGATTATAGATAAGTCTAATTTTTAAACGCTGTAAATATAGCTTTTATTCAATCATCTCTCAGATGTTGTTATTAACTCGCTCTGTGTTGTTGCAAAACTTTTTTGGTGCGGACAAGTTTCCAAAACTATTGCTACGTTGTGTGCTTTAAACAAAAAAATAACAATGGGCTGATGCTCCATCGGCCTCGTGCTAGGAAAAAAAAAAAAACAAACTGTGTATCTATCATTAGCTATATGGGACTATATTGTAGATTGTGTTTTCTCAGTAGAGAAGTGACTGTAGTGTGATTCTAGGTAAATCATCATTAGCAATTCATTCAGATGGTCAATAACTTGAAATTTATAGCTGTGATAGGAGTTCAGAAATTGGCACATCCCTTTTGAAAAAC